GTATATAATAATAATAATAATAATAATAATAATAGTAATTATAATATATAAATAAATATTATTATAGAAGTTGTAATTACCTTATCATGAAAGGAAGATAAACATTATTATTATTATTCTAACAGTATATATATATAGAAAAATATATTTATGTAAGATGATTTAATATTCTGTTATTGTGTTGTGTAGATTCAGATTACCTTTACATATTTTATAAAATTTCAATTCATAGAATAAATTTTGAAAATTTTCTTCAGAATAAATCTAATTTTAAAAATTATTTATTTATTTACTTATTTATTTATTGAATTAATTAGAAGAAATTTCAATGCATTTCGAATAGATTCAATTAAACTGTTGCTATATAACATAATAAAAATTGATCTTGTTACTCAGTAAATTGCATAATCTAACACTGAAACGGTCTAATGCAGTGTTGAACGACTTGTGGATCGTGTGTCAGGATGTCTGTTCTATCTGATGTGCAATATTTATTATTTATACTATAATTTCTACTATAGATATTTCTTAAATTAATATACTATTCTTCCTGATTAATTTATTAGTATTTGAACTTATTATTTATGTATTTTTTACATAAAAATGCAATATAAAGCACTGAATGCCTGTCTTAGAATAAACGTGTATATTAACGATAAAATATATAAAATAAAATAAATTAGATTAAGGAAGGACAGACGGACAGACGGACGACATTGGGTGCGCAATTTGAAAATCGCAGCCTAATAAAGCATTGAAATTAAAGGAGGAATTGCGAAATTACCTTACATTTTCTTTATTAATACAGTCAAACCTGACATACTAATATATTTATGAATATAAAATAGCTATAAAATAAATCAATTTTTTTTAGACTGTGCAGGATCCTAGGCATTTATGAACTTGCCAGGCCCTTCTTTATTTATATTTATATAATATAAAACCTGTATTATACTATGTTTGGTAGCAAACAAGATCTAATATCCTGCTAATACACATACGAAGCAAAATTGGAAAACGATAAGTATTTCTGAGGGCCTAAAATCGCAAGGCCCTAGACAAAAGCCGAAGTTATCTATACTTAAAATCATATATTTTTTAAAATACTGATTTTACATAAATTTCTGGTACTTCCAACAGATGCTTATCGATAGGTATGTGTTTGTGTATATATTAGGCCCTTAAACACACAAGGGCCTAAGCAAAAGCTTAAGTTACACGTGCCTAAAATCGCCACTGTTTTAAGTAGATTTTATTTCGTTGAATAATCTCGTACGTAAATTTTCTTGTGCTCTCAACAAACGTTTATTGATTTATCTACTTAATTTTTCATTTTTATTTACCTCATAATTTTTCATTAAACTGTTAACGTCAGCATTAACATCAGTATTAAGTTAAAACCGATGTTAATACTAAAGCTGAATTGAAGTACAGCATCGAAAATCCTCATCAAATCTTTAATTTGAAATAACTTACAACAAAAATTCAATTTGTTAAATTTTCAGGGAACTTCTACTTATAAATATAAATTATTTAAATAAGTTTCTAACATTAAATAAACATTTTTATATTGTTTAATATTGCAGTTATAATATATTATACAATATAAATGTCGTATTATTTCGAATTTAAAACTCATCCCTTACTTTATATGGGGGTTTTTTAAAGTGTTAAAAATGTCTTAAATTGAAAAATAATCACTAATTTAAATTTAAAATATAATTACAATAGAACCTCTAATAGCGGCCACCTCTCAACGACGGCCATCTCTAAACATCGCCCGTATTTTAACGAAATTTTTTAATCTTTTTGGATAAAAATTCGTTCAAAAATAACCTCCAAACAACGTCAATTCAATGGTCGTTATACACAGGTTTGACTGTATACAGTACAAGTGTTTAAATTGTTAAATTAATTTAAAATTTTAAGAGAAATTATAAATAACTTTTTAAAATCAAAATGTGATTATATAAATTTAATATTTGAAGCAAAAAAAAAACACGAAAAAATATTTTTACTGACGTAACATATGGCCTATCTTAAACCAATTAAACAATGAAATGTAGCAGATTTTTCTTATTTCGTGTTATCGAAATGAAAGAAAAATTTGCGACAAGTAATTAAAAGATTGATTATCCATTGGCACCTTTTCTTTTTTTTTTTACTTATTTTTTTTTGCATCAACATCGACACGTTCACTTTAATTTAGACCCAAATCATCCAGCTAATTCGTACAACTCTTAGATAAAAATATCGGTTTTTATTTATCTATTTACTGTTGAAAACTAATTTTTTTTTTATTTTCCTATTAAAAACTCGATTATTGATCACTAATACAAGGTGGCCCAAAAGTCAGTTAACCAGTTTACAAACTTTATAAAAATT